CTTGCCTGTCCCTGCTGGGATACTGTTAACATTGCGGTTGTTTTGTCTGTTCAAGCATTTTTGTTTTCCTCCTGGCAGGACCTTTTAGTTAATTATATTGTTTATTTTAATCTATCCAGAGTCATGTGAAAGTGGGTGGTCACGGAAACTGAATGAATGAAGAAGAAGCAGAAGTGCAAGCCTAGGACCAAGCAGTTGTCTTGCTTTGGGTACAGAGATTAGCTGAGAAGGAGAAAGCTGAGCTCAGCACTAATAAATAAATAAAGAGAAGCTGATAATGAAGAGGCCAAGTGTCTGCTAGCCCCTGTATCCATAATATCTATGAATACTACATTTTCAGTACATCTAGAATTCCTTTGAATTTAATGTTTAATTTACTACTGCACCAGCACCAGCCTTTTCATTTTAAAAAGGATTTCCAGGGCCCCTAGGGCACAAATTATCAGCGGCTAAGAGACGTTATTGCAGAATGAAATATAGGGCATTCACAAATACCCCTTGCCCTCGCAGCTAATCAAGGGCAAGAATGTCACATGGGACCCTGAGCAATTCTTAAAAACGCTCATTGGAAAGGAATTTCTAAAGCAAATACTTTCATTAAACTGCATCAGAACTGACAGAAAAGTTGTGCTTTTATTTTTATTTTTTTTAGTGCATAGCACTAGTCTGTGAAGCCATGAAAAATGTTTGGCTAGGGATATACGCTTATAAGGCTTGTGTGACTAACGTTCCATCACATCTATTTTGCTAAGCACTTCTGACAGCCCTTAAAAAGGGAACTGCTTGTGCTTGGCCAAGCCAGGTGACTATGGAGACCCAGTTTGGTGTAGTGGTTAAGGCTCCAGGCTAGAAACCAGGACGCCCTAAGTCCTAGTTCTGCCTGAGGCATGGTGCCCTTGGGCCAGTCCCTCTCTCTCAACCCTAGAAAGGAGGCCAGGGCAAACCACTTCCCAAAAACCTTGCCAAGAAAACTGCAAGGGATTAGTCCAGGCAGTCACCAGGAGTCAACGCCGACTCAAAGGCAGAAAAACAACATCAATGGAGTAGCACCTTCTATTTGGCATAAAAAGACATTACGTTGGATCGAACGTCTGGCTCCATTTCCATCTCCTGTTCAGACTGAAACACAATACCTGTCATCTCAGAGCCAAGCCAAACAAAATAAAGTGCCTCATCGTAAAGTAACTTTAGTGACCAAAACTCCCAACTACTTTAAATGCAAACATTGTTGGTAACTTTACCCAAAATACACACGTATACCTAACTTGCTTCTGGTTTTGTGCCTCAGATGTCTGCTGGAAGAAAAACATTTCTTTCTGTCTTGTGAATAGGGAAAGGGGAGATTGCTTTCAGGGTGCAATTATGATAAGTCACCATCTTTATTAAAGCAAACCTTGACCCTTTCTAATATATGGAAGTTAAAAAAAAAAAAAATCAGAGATGGTGAGTGCAAGAGCAATAGCTGCCTTAGATGTAATGTTGGCAAACTTTCCTTGGCCAAGAGCTGTACATGATATGGAAAGAAGTGAAGGCCATAATGAGCAGGGTGACAGGAATACCCATGGGGTCCAAAAAGTCAAGATGGCAACTACCATTGCAAGATTAAAGCCTTGCTCCTTTTTTAAATGCATCATCTCTGAAGGACGATGGCCTACATGGTTAGAACTAGATTTTCTGATTTTTTTTTTCCTGTTTCAGGCAGAGAAGGAGACTTTTTCTTGTAACTGTTAAGACTATTTTAGGTCTTACAATTACTTTACCATGTGTTTTTTCTCTAAACATGGTGGGAAAACATACCACCAGATTTTTGGTAATAATGATAGGAGAGGGTTCCACAGACTCATCAAGGGGGATTGAGGCTGTATGGACCCTGAGGGCTACAGGTTCCCGCCCCCACTTTAAATGAAAGAAGAGAAGCCAACATCACCAGGATACTGATTTGGAATCTTAGACTTTTCAAAACCTTAGGTTTTTCTCAAAACATTTCTACTAAAATCAAGAGCCCTCCAACATTAGCCCTCCACTCCACCATTCCCATTTCTTACAGAAGCATTGGAAGCTGCTTATTCATTCATTCATTCATTCATTCATTCATTCATTCATTCATTCATCAAACTTATATGGCCACCCACGTATCAGAAGGAAAAGAGGTGCCTTCACAAGAAAGTGTCATGGAGTAGCACAGCTGCTACATCTCTTGTCCCTGACATACTGTACTATATCAACTTCTTTTCCTCAACCAAAGCTGACATATCTGTGCTGTCCATTATGCTGCATGGGTCTGCTTCACTTTTATGCTCTGTTTCTGGTTCAGCAAGAGATATCAACAAACCCATTATGGCTTAGTGTTGTGTGCAAAGGAGATAACTATGGGTTGTTTGACAAATCATGGCTGAAATCATAGCATAAAATAAACTCATTGGTTAGGTGGCCCCTATGCTGTGGAATTCTCTCTCCCTGGAGACAGAGGAGTTAGCCTTATCCAGACTTCCTTTTAAGCAAATATCTAAAAGCCTGCTCCCATTGGCTTTTAAATATTTCTGTGGGTAATTGCCATTTGTGGTTTTTTTCTGAAATTGGTTTATTTAAAATGGTTTATATTTAATGTATTTTCTTAGGCCTGATGACCATTTTTTTCTTTGTTTTTGCTAAAATTAAAAATGGATTAAGTACATACATATCCTGAAAACAATTCTGCAACTATTCAGTCTTTTCTTCTTTAATAGAGCTTGTTTTAATTGGAGAAAGGAAACTATGAAAGAAGCAGTGAGAATACCAAGGAAGGTTACCAACTTAAAAGCATCCATTCTGCCCTCTCTAAAAAATTCCCTTGCGGATGAGTCAGGACCATCACATGATAAACATTTCATCTGGAGCTATCCCTAACCTCCTTTAAAAGGTTATTTTCTCACTTCTTCCAATTCCCCAGCAGCCTTGCCAGACAAGGGGAGCAACTCCTCAGGCCTTCAGGCTGAGAAGGAAGAAAGAGGCACAGGTCAAGTAAGGACTCTTTTCTGCAGACATCCTTGCTAGAGGCCTGCTAGTGGAAGAGATTCATGAAACACTTTGCCCTGAGAAAGTCCACTCAGAATTAAAGTGTTTCTAATTGGATTTGCTTTCACTGGCTTTCAAGATTTTTCAATAGTTAGCTTTCCATATTTTTTCCATTGCCTACTAACACTCATTCTTATTCAAATGAATTCCATTACCTAATGACACTCCTTATTCAAAATATTCCTTTTATAAATCCTTTCTTTCTCCAGTTCCTAAAGCCTAGACATAATCTCTTGGGTATTATGGCTGGAGACTATTGCTGAGAATTAACTTTCTATCTCCTCTTTCAATCAATCAGTCAATCAATCAATCAATCAATCAATCAATCAATCAATCAAGCCCTTTTCATCCTCCCTTTTCAATGAAGATTTTTCTCCATATGGGTTAACTGACTGAACTCTGAAGTGTATTATACAGTCCATCATGGCGCTTCCACATGGGGTCTTCCCACTGCTCCCAAATCAGTATCACATGTTTGATCCCATGCCATCTTCTCAGTAATTTATTTATACATTTATAAATCAGTCAATTTATTTCTAGCTCAGCTGCACTGCATCTCAGAGTTTCAAAGGTTTAAAGCTCTTGAGAACTTGTAGACAGAAACATTCATGTCACCCTTAGCAATGGTATGCTTAGCATTTCACGATCAGAAGATGGTTGTTCATCTGCTTCAAACCGCTTTTGAGTGACTGAGAATTGAAAATGGTGGCAGCTGTGAAGGGCCTTCAGTCAATCAGTTTACCTAGTTACTAATATACGCTATTTTACATAGTTTACATATTTCAGTTTACCTAGTTAGCAATATACTCTATTTTAGTCCCCAGAGTATATGGCAAGCACAGATCAAAACCAAATGCATATCACACTGCATGCTTGAGGATAGTAGATGACAACTGGCAATTTTGAGATCTGCAACTGTCCAAATGTTACAGATAATACCACAAGTAACAGTGATACACAGTTCGGCGATCCAAAAATAAGTTTCATTCTATTTAAAAAGAGAGAAATAAATAAATCAAAGCTAGTATAGCAGGAATGGACATCAGGGCTACAGCATTTGCTCTCTTGTGATGGGTTCCAATCCTGGATTCTCATCCCAAGCATTCAAGATGACCTTCCAGGCCTAGCTTACAAGAAAGTTGGAACTCACAAAATCTTTGAGTGTTTTTTGCACATGCAACTTCAGTAATTTTCTGTTTTTCTTTGTGCTATTTGTGTCAATGTTTGATTGGTAATGAGGTGGCAGAGCATGGAAGTTTGCTATGTGCATAAGCTTTCTGAAGAATGTGGCTTTTATAATCTCTTTATAACCAAAGTGAAGCCAAATCCACATCAAGAAGGTGCTCAAGTTTATGGGACAGCCAGGAGATCTCTTCCAGCCCATTCTTTCTTCAAGAGTGGAACTTCTTTGTAAAGCTGAAATTATGCTTTTGCCCTCCTGCCCCTCAACCTCTGGCTATTTTTTGTTATTTCAGTTTGAAATATATTAGAGATGGCTGTCATTCCCAAACAAATGGTTTTCCCTTTCTCAATCCAATACACACACACACACACACAACACACACGAATACATGGCAGACAATTATGCAAATTCAACATGTAGCATAAGAAAGCCATTCAAATGTGTGTACATGTGAAAGAGAAAGAGATGGAGAAGGTGCCCAAATCACTGTCAGGATGCTGTGCCTCCTTTTCCATACATGCTGCACCCTCCAAGATGTAAGGGTGGGGGCTCAATTGTGGAGACTGGCTGGGTAAGCCAAACACATTTACCCAGTTCATTTAAAGGTCTGCCCGCCACATTCACATAACATGCTTGATTCTGCAAATGCAGCCCATTTTATTCGATGATGATTCAGTGGATTGTGCAAACCCAGAAAATGGGTTACTTCAATATCCAACAGGCCCCCAGCCGCTCTGCCCTCAAAGACGGAAGCCAGGCTTACCCTTCAGCATGTTCTTAAAGGAAACGTCCGTAGTCGATTGCATCCTTGTCAGCTGGTCGAAGCTGTCCCTCTGAGAAGGCTGCAGGATATCCTTTAAGAAAATAGCCATTGGTCAGGCTCACTAATGCACGGCCAGCACCAGGCATGTGCGCCTGTCTTTTCTGCTCCAGAGGCAAGGACTGAGGTGTGCACGATAGAGAAAGAGTTGCTTGTGCCTGCCAGGAAACAGGGTTGCCATAGAGCTGCTGTACTGAAGCTGCACTCAGAGCAGCTGCTCAGGGCTCAGGCTGCACAATGCAGAGTTCACAGACCCCCCAACTGAAAGAGGCTCTTTTCCTTCCCTGCCCTGGGGATGAGACACTTTACTATAAAGTAAGGTACCTCCTGTCCACCTCATGTGAACCATCAGGCTACTTGCATCCTTGATTATCTCTGGAACAGAGCCTCTAATGCCTCTTATGGAACAAAATTAATGTCTAGCCTTCCCCTTCTGGAATCAATGGCTGGAAGGGAATACGACTGGGACACTCTTAAAGTGACCTTAGTTTTTCCAAGTCTCTTGTCTTCAAGCAGATCCTTTTATTTCTCGTTTAGCTCAATCACATTATTAGCTAAGGGAGCATGGCCCTAACAATAAACACAAACATTTTACAACATAGTCTTCATGGAGCTACTGTTAAAGACCAGTTAGAAACTTCAATTTTCATTGTACTTCCAGACTTAATTCCAAAACCTCACTGGACTCAATCAGCCCTCACCAGTCTGTTCTCTTCTAGATGAAGTGGATACAGTTCTCTGATTTTCCAGCCAACACCTTAGGAGGGCAACACATCACGGAAGGCTGCCCTGGGTTATCTTCTTAACGACTAGCTCAGGACTCAACTAAATTTTCCTGCTGAATGCTACCTCAGTGTCAACAGTTCAGAAAGTGAGAAGCTGATGCACAGAATTTTCAGCCCCAATAGTTATTCTGAATTCTACAACATTTTTTAGAAAATAAAAATGGTGGGAGGCTACAGCCAACCTGGCAGGAAAAAAAGACAAAGAGAACTGGAATGAGTGGACCAGCTGTTTGTTTGTTTTTAAATGTAACCTCATAATTCATCTTCTATTCAATGGGTGTTTTGAGATTGGTCACACTCATGAAGGCAATTTTCTTGTGAGAGGACTTACATCATGCTTCCAAAATTCTATAGCTTTGGGTCTATAGGCCCCAAAGTTTGCTTCCTCATCCAATATTTTGGCCAGCTGAAGGCAGCAATCGTATGTATGACATAATGACAAGTATTCTTAGCTACGGGGGCATGGGAAGTTGGTCAGTCTTGAGACCTGGCATTTCAACCTCAGAATGGAGGTTGAAACAAATTGTTTCCAGATCATACCACCTCCCAGATTTCAGTCTTGAAAGGTTTTGCACACCTCCGTTCCTCGCCTTGAAGTTATTCCCATCCTGTTACTTGAGATCATGGCATATGGGTTACTCAGTATTACTCAGAGTACTCCTCTCTTTTCTTGATGGTGGTGTACTGCAATGGATAGGTCACCTCCTGGTGAAGAAACCCTTCTTTGTGTTACTGTATTGCTCTAGTTGGGTATAAGGTTCCCAAGTAGTGTAAGCAGTTCGGTCCTGCAAAGAGAAACAGACAAAATAATAACACAGCTGTTGTTCCATGCTCTTGCTTCTGGAAGCTCCCCTGATGTAAATCAGTGTGGCATCCTCCTACAGCTAACCTGGCATTGTGATTGCTGGTTAGAGCTAGTATTGTGACATCAGTGATGTCAGCAAACCAGTTATTGTTTCCTTTCAGGAAATTTGCATCTTGAGCTTTGCTAACCAGGTTGTCTTCAGTGCTTGTAAGGATGTAAGGATTACAAACTAAGAACATGTAGGCAGCATAGGCAAGAGCAGGATGAAGGTTCGGCTTACTTAGATAAGTGTGAAGCTGGTAGATTACTAAGGACGACAAAGTGGAGGCAAGAGAGAATTTGAGTCCAAGATTGCAAAAGGACAGTTGAAAAAAACTTTCTTAGAGTAGATATACTAGAACCCCATCTAATGCAGTCAGGACTGCCCTTGACATTGTGGTGACAAGGGCCATAAAGGAAGTCTTGAGGGGTGCAAGTGGGTAGTGAGAGGCAAAAGCAGAACTGAGGTAAAAGCAGAAAATAGGCAAATTTTATTTATTTTATTTAGTATTTCAATTTCAAGGCCACCCAACTCCATAGCAACTCTGGGTGGCTTACAAATAAAAATCAAAAGAAAACAAAATATATCAAGGGGAAAAAGAAGACAGCTAACTATCTTCTTTGGAACCAAAACCCAAAAAGCCAAGCAGCCAATAACCAATCAAAGGGGCTCAACCCCCATTCTAGCCCAGGGCCTGGGAAAAGCCTGGGTAAAGCCACCTACTTCTTTTTCATTAACTGATTTCCACCAGACTAATTCAACCATTCTTAAAACCACAAGATTTACATTTCTCTAGATGATTGACAGTTGGCAGGCAGCAGCTGAGGAAGGGGCTGGAGACCAGGATTCCTGCCTAGGGTTATATCCTGGAGATGAGAAGGACTGAACCTGAAGGTCTTTTGCAAACAAATCACATGCTCTACTACTGAGCGATCACATTCCCCTAGAAGGGAGGAGGCTGTCTGGAAATGAAGAGGCGCTGAACAGAAGGCAGGGAGTCAGTCAGTGGAGAACTGGTCAGGGAAGTCATAGGAGCAAAGAACCCCCAGAGGATCAGGATGATTAGACAGGATATCAAACCATGGCCAGGTAGTTTCCAGTGGAGTGGTACCTGCCTGTGTCCAGGAATATTTGCTAGCTAACATCAGAGTCACTTCTTAAACTGGTTAAGAAGAGAGATGGTAGTGAAGGTTTTGAAGGCCAAAGTCAGACTTAAAGCTGTGTACTTTTTAAATGCATTCAAGGGGTACTATACTCTGTAAAGTTTGATCCTGAGCTTAAGGAATAGTTCAGAACTCTAATAAACACATTTTTATAACTGTTAGCTTTGACTTGCTGTTATCAAAGTGGGCATCTCGGCTGGACATGCTATTCCCCCCAAAAGCGAAGACAGTGTTCACAATTTCAGTAAGATATCTGTTACAATTCTTTGCTGGAACTCCCATTGACTAATTTAGAATACATTTATATCTTGCCTTTATTTTGTACAACACAAAATGCTCCCTCCTCCTATTTTCCCCACAACGATAACCCTGGGTCAGGCCCAAAGTCGCCCAGCTGGCTTCCTTGAAAAAGGGAGGACCAGAACCCATGGTCTCCTAGCTTTGATTTCCAGTCCAGCACCTCAACTGCTACACCAAACTGGCTTTCAGACTAACCAATACTAACTGATACCGTATTTTTGTTGGATACAGTTTGGCAAAGGTTACTGCCAGCCTGGAAGAAATCTGAGAGAATACAAATTGCCCTAGGAGAAAGACTGGAAGACTTGTGGGGAAGATTTCCCTGAAATTAAATCAAGCTGTCAAAGCAAACAACTCTTCAGTTTTGGCACCCTCGGAAAAAAGACCTAGAGGCTTCTGGCAGATTCAGATCAATTCATCCTCTTGACACAGTTACTGCTTACTCAGGAACTTGTATGTGATGCTGCAGAATATCCTGGCAGAGTTACAGATAGTTGGCATGGGTTAACCAGGAGAACAAGAAACCCCAAAAGCTGAGGCTACAGAATTTCTCCCAGCCCTCTGGTTGTTATTTAAGTGAAATCTAAGGTCCTTAGTCAACAACTCCCCATGTGAAGAGCTCGTTGGAAGGCTGCCATTCAGCAGAGTAGAATTTACTCTCTTTGCTTGCCTTTCCTTTCTGCATAGATTTCCATGACAGGGTGCATCCCATCCCAGAGAGATGCAGTTACTGATATTCTTCCCTTTATTACCTTCCATGAACCTACTACTACTGTACTACCACTATTATTTACTTCCTTATTTAATCCACTAGTATACTACTGTCCATGGTAGTAACTGGTTTTCCCACGCATTGCAGAGGGTTAGACTAGATTATCTTTGTGGTATATCCCACTTCTATTCTATGATTCATATCAAGAACATGGTTTCTCAAGGCAATATAAGGGAGATAGATAGATAGATAGATAGATAGATAGATAGATAGATAGATAGATAGATAGATAGATAGATAGACAGCAGACAGACAGACAGACAGACAGACAGACAGACAGACAGACAGACAAGAACCAGTTGAACATAGGCAGATCATGCTGAAACATCTTAACCAGAAGTACAGGGATTTAGGTGTTGGACAAGCCCACCCTCAGAGACAGAAACTTACTGGGGCCAGTCCTTCTCTCTCAGCCCAACTGACCTTACAGGGTTGTTGAACTTGTAGTCTCCTTAGATATAAGTGCATATGAAATACAAATACTAAAAATTAAAAGATTAAAAATAATAAACTCTATCACCCAATTCACTATACCTCCAAAGCAGAGAGAGGTATCGATTCCAGAACACTGTAAACATAGAGCCCAAATTCACCTTCTGGCTCTTCTGATTTATTAGGTTCTCTCTGGTCCTGATAGATCAGCCTTAAGGAGGAGCCAGAAGATGGGGAAAGGAGAAAGGCAGGTCCTCATTCGGGATCTGAAAAGCCCAAAAGTTGCTTCAGAGTAATCAAAATTCATAGCTGAGTATTAGGAGCAACCAAAATGACATATAAAGCATTTGAATTCTCCTGATCATTCCCTCAGGCAAGATGGAAGAAAAAGCAAGCTTGGAAAACCAGCCTCCCCCAGTTCCCTCTGTCTCCTCCTTTCACCCTTCAATGCCTGTGCAGTAGAAAAAGAAAGCTGTGGGCAGCTGAAACACAGTCTCTGAAATACACCCATGTTGTGGTCACTCCCATCTCTCTAAATGGAGACCAGGAGGCAGTCCTGGTTCATGTTTGGATGACATATGGAGCCACAATCTTGATAAGTGACTCTAGAAGAAGCCATCACTTTATCTCAATCTCAGTGTAATCTATGACATAGATTTGGACATCACACTAATTATATGGACATGATTAATCACACTAATCATGTCCATATGAACAAGGCAGCCTCGTCTGCTTGTTATGAGGCTACAGGAGTCCTGGGATTTCTGTCCTGGTCTCTTTAATATAAGCCTCTAAGAGATGATGCTTATATATTCTCTAACATACTGTATGGACTAGAAACTTTATGTTTCTGTATTATCAATTCCCAGATTTCCGGGTCTGCCAGATATCCACTGCCAGACAGCCATGTAGTTTAGCATAGCTGCAGCTGCGTAGATTTATAACGAAGTGCTTTAGAGGGTTTCATACTGGGTATTCATTTAGTCAAAGAGTGCCAATTAATTCCAGGAACAAAATCATTTCATGAGAAATGAAGCATCTGCATGCTGTGAATAAACCCGCCCATCCATTGCTCGGGTTGTGAGATGCACAGTGTCATGAAATGCTGAAGCACAGCCAAATGCTCCCTTGACTTCCAACATTCCTGGAAGTGAATCAGTTTTTCCTTGTTTTGATTGCCATGAGCTGCGGACATTTGTTCCTTCCTTTGTTCTGGGTGGAGGAAAAGACAGAGAGCAAGAGAGGCAATCTAACCTGTTGCTATAAACGGCTACATTGGGACAGGGTGGAGATACAACGGCGAGGGCGAGGGCGAGGGCAGGGCAGGGCGGGAGTGGCGGTGGGGGGCAGGAGAGAGCACTATTACAGGAAGGTGAGGGGGCTCGTAGAGCTGTTTGGCAAAGTATCTGTGGCTGAGCGGTTCTGAGATCAGCAGCTCCACAGCCTGAGCACACAGTGCACGGACAGCTCAGCTCCAGCACTTCACCCCTGCTTTCCTCCTCTTGGGCAGTGTTCCTTTCCCCCAAATGCCTGCAGAGCGTAGGTCACTGGAAAGCCTCAGTGACTGCATGAATCAGACGCCTCCACATTCAGACCCTTGGTTCTTCCAGAGGAAATTCCTGAACACGAAGCACAGCAGGGACATTTGACTCATGTCTTAACTCAGAGGAGTCATCCCATGGAGCTGGATGGCTTGGCTTCTGGGAAGGACTCCAGAGCACCTGCCTTGTTCTCAGAGAACCTGGAATCTGCAAAAAAGGAAACGTTGGGAGCCACTTTGTACACCTTTTCTTCCATAAGGTACATGTCATTCCTTTTAGCAAGTGGTCTCACAAGGTTGCCACACCTTTTGTTTCCTCCCCAAATGCATGTGTGCCTTTGAGTCAGTCTTGACTCCTGGCAACTGCCTGGACTAGTCCCTGCAGTTTTCTGGGCAAGATTTCAAAAGCATTTGCCACGGCCTCCTTCCTGGGGCTGAGAGAGAGACTGGTCCAGGGTCCCTTGGTTGGCTTTATGCCCAGGGTGGGACTAGAACTCACAACCTCCTGGTTTCTAGCCTGATGCCTTAACCGCTGCACCAAACTGGCTCTCTTCTCCACATGTGCCCTTTCCTTTGCC